GAAGGTAGAAATATACTATTGAATTTTATAAAAGATTATTATATTGTTAAGGTAAAATTAAAATTTTCCTTGTTAGTATTTCATAAAAAAAGGCTTAGTTTAAAAAATTGAAATTATAGCTTGTGGGCATCTTCATTCTTTTAAACAATGAACTTCGTCATCAATAAGGAAACTTTCAATACAGTTTTTTCTTCTTCGGTTACAGAACCCTAAAAAATTAACCTTCTTCCGGCAGAAACCCAGGCTTTATAAATAAAGTTTATTAGTGTAATTAGGAACGTTATAACCTACAGAGGATTGTTTCTAAAATATTTAATTAGAGGGATAAAGATGTTTCATTGTTTTATCATTAATAATCTAAAATTATATTTTATGTTCCACTGTTAAACTTGCAAACCTAATGCTATATCTAGTCTATTTATTTATCTATCATATGAATTTTTTCCTTTTTTATTATGCATTATATGAATTTTTATGTTTTATATGAATTATTATCTAGTCTATTACATGAATTTATTTTTGATGTAGATACACATTCTGTATCTTTAAAGAAATGATATAAAAGATGAAAATGGTTATTTGTTAAGCATATTATTAAATTTTAAAAATATTGAAAATATTAAATTTTAGTTATTGATCATGATTGATCATTAATCATGAATTCAGATTCATGATTGTTAATATAATATCACCGAATAAAAATTTAAAAACGTATATAAGAATTTTATTACAATTAAAAATAATTTTGTAAATTCTTCGGTTTAAACTGCGAAAACAATTGGGATTGAAAATTAAATATTAATTTGGAGAAAATTTATGAAATACTATATCTATTTTAAAATATAGTGAATGAAATTAAAAACGGTTTACGAGTAGTTGGTAAAAAATTTAAGCAATGATGATAATAAATAATAATAATGATAATAATAATAATAATGGTAATAATAATAATAAATGATAATAATAATGATAATAGTAATAATAATAATAATGATAATAATAATAATAATAATAATAATAATAATAATAATAATAATAATAAATAATAATAATAATAATGATAATAATAATAATAATAAATAATAATAATGATAATAATAATAAATAATACTAATGATAATACTAAATAAGTAAACCACAAAATCATAAATGAATACTGCACATTATCAGTGTCTTGAAAACAGAAAGAAAAAGAAGAAAAATATTGTTTTTATGTTTTATTTCGAAAATATTATCATTTTTTTAGAAAAATTGCTCTAAATGTGAATTTTCTAAATGTTCAATAATTGGAATAACTAAACTCGGATATTCCTAAAGACTTGCAGACAGAATTTACAAAATAGCGTTTTCGATTTATTATTATTTTTTTTTCGATAAAAATTTATCAGAAACAAAATTAATCAATCCAAGAAGCACAGAAGAAGGTGGCTATTGATAGAAATCATGAAGAAAAAAATGGAATAAAAAGGAAATAAGGGGATTCGGAAAGAGGTAAACAAAGCTGGTTTTTGAAACCAAACACCTCGTAGGTAAACAAAAGCTTCACCTTCTACTGGAATTAAAGTTAAAAGATTTTTATGCTCTTTTGTGATTTTGTGAGTTGTGTTAAATCTCAAAGGGCACATTCTAAAGATTTTGATCATGTCGATCGAAAGTTCTACCAGGAAAAAAAAAAAGGAGGAGAGAAACTTTGAGTTTCTAGAAATCCAATTTTAGCAGAGAGGTGTGATGAGCCCTTATTTCAGGGGAAAAGTGAAAATCTACACTTGCGCACCCTCGCGACACTACTCGAAGAGGAATGGAACTTTTTATTACGTTTCCTCTGGGAAAGGGAACAATATCAAAGAGGCTAACTTTCTACCAGGAAGGAAACAACTAAACCTTGCTTGAACATACTTGACACTTTTGATGGCGTGTGTATCTCGACAGTAATCTGAGAAAAGGATAGAGAAAATGAAATAAAAACTCTCTTAAAAATGTCGAATTTTCTGAAGTTCTTGATACTGATACTTTTAGATATAGAATTATTTGTGTATTTTTTTTTTGAAGAATAAATATGTAATAGTATTTTATTTGTAATATATAGCAAAATTTAACCAACAAAGAACCCTAAAAAAATGACTTAGAGGCGTTTTTTTGATTCAACTCAATACCTTCAACTTGATTTTTATGTTAGACTCACAATTTATAAGTTTTGTTACCAAATTATTCAATATCACAACAAAAAAATAAAATTAAAATCTATATAAGATTTAATTGAAGTCTTACAGATATTAATAAAAATTTGAAACATTTATCAACAGACAGCATAGAACGGAAAATTTTTTGCTTCGATCACCTTTTTTGTTGTAATTTTTAAAATTTTTATCGAAATACTAACTGAACTTTTTCACAACATTTGAAACATGCAGCACCAATTAGAAAAAAAAAATCAAAAAACGGCGAGGCAAATAAACTTGCTTTCCACATTTTTATTTCCACATAAGAGCATGTTCCTTGATCGAAATATTGACGTTTTCGTTTGTTTATTATTATAACACTTTTGCATTAATCATCTGTATAATTTATTGTGATAAAATTTGCCAGTTACGATTGTCAGTCTAGATTTTAAAAAGAACGAAAAAAAATCGTCAAAAGTGGAAAAAAAATATTAAATTTATTTTTGTTATCATAACGTCTTTTTGATGTATATAGACCAAAGTCACCACAAGGATACATTTTGTGTTGGCTTTTTCTTTTTCTCATATAACTTGATGAATTTATGCTTTTTTATCTTAATGTCACAAAGAAAAAAAAGTTAAAATTTTAAAAATTAAATTTTGAAAATGTTTTTTTAATTTTTTTTTAAATGTTGTCTTTAACAAAAGCAAATGGGGGAATATATAGACTATATTCTCAGGTAGACTTTATAAAGTATGTATTTTCGTTTCTGTTTTTCTTTTAGAAGCAATTTTTTAAATTCAAAAATGCTGATTACATATGGCTGCTTTAAAATTGCATTATCGATGTAGAGAAACGTTCATACAATGAAGAACAAAAAAAAAAANAAAAAAAAAAAAAAAAAAAAAAAAAAAAAAAAAAAAAAAAAAAAAAAAGAATTGGCTGCGCATATTTGCGCCAAAAAATCTTAAAAATCAAGATGAATATATATTTTCCGTACGTTTGCATCGAAAATTTCATTATCGTTGGTTTACTATGTAACAATTCACCTGCATTCGACGCCCACTTGTTTGAATCGAGAAACAGGGAGCCAAATGTAAAGCAAAGGACTATTAAAAGTGTCTATAGAACAATATAATTACAGAGAAAAAACATTGTATTGGCTTTTTTCCACTTAAGTAACAGGCTCAAACAAAATCTTCACAAAATTAATTTTTGAAAGCAAAAGAATTGCTTGATAAAATAATACATTTAACGAATACAAATATGTAAGAATAATGCATACATATTGCAATTTACTTTCTCATGTAGACTTTATAAGAGCATGCATTTTAATTTCCGAATTTGTAGGAACATCTTTGAATTCAAAAATGATGGTCATCTTTGAGAGTTCAAAAATTCATTGTTTTAAGAAAAAAGAAAACAAATCTGCTGCTCATTTAGAAAAAAGTCATACTCCATGCATTGGACTTCAGTAAGCATTAAAAATAAAGGGGTAAAGAGTTAAAATTACTCAATCTTAAAATTGAAAGAGAGCAATAAATTTGAAAGTTAATCTAAAAGAGAATACATTTAATTTTGTATATTATTAATATGTAATTATCTCCTGCAAGACATGAGGAAAGCTTTAATAGTTTTGTTAAAAAACAATGTACTTCTAGTGATAATCTAATGTTTCAATTCATAGCTAAGTCTAGGTCTCGATATCGAAATTCAAAAAACTGTAGCTTGCAATCTGAATAATTCTCTTTAATCTAAATTTTAAATCGTGACTATCATTCAAAAGTTAATAGCAAAATGTTATCATTATAAAATTTTTCTCTTAAAAAAAGGAGATGTGACAACTGGAAGTAATATTACTGTATATATTTCTTATCATATAATGCAGAATATGTAAATTTTTAATTTATTTCGTGATCTTATAGAATGTATACAATATTTGATGCATTTTATATAAATTAATATTTAATTTTCAATCCCAATTGTTTTCACAGTTCAAACTTAGTGATTTCAAATTAATGTCATTAAAGATTTTATTTTTAATAACAATAAAACTTTTATATCCGCTTTTAAATTTTTACACGTAGATATTATATTAGCAATCCCGTACCCCCCTCCCAAAAAAAAACACTAATTTATTTTTACTTTGCTCATACTATATATATATAATAGATGCTGAACAGCTGACTCAATTCTAAATTTAAGACAATCAATGTCCAACTCCATGTCCATTTAATTTTTAACCTAACAAAGAAGACAAGGGAACTCCTATATCAAGCAGTAGAACTACTTAATTTTCACGGAGGACTTTTTCTCTTGACTAACTCGTATTTTCCTTACATGGAGTGGAAAACCACAAAAACACCCCATCTTTTGATCGACGGCAAAGGAATTCTATCCCAAGATCCCTCCAAAACTGAAGATTTGTTTACATCTGCACTGTTTTCAGAGCGAGAGGGTATCAACCAGTATTCGTGTCAACCATTCGTATCGACATTAGCAAATTAACCATTCGTATCAGCTGAGTCACTTCATTCAGAGACATACGCTCTATCTCCTAAGCTACCCTTCGTAATTTTTTCAACCGCTTATATTTTGGCTAGCTTTTTTATCATTACTCAGACGACTGTGTAGTCTAGAATCTAGTTTAATTCTCAAGCTCTAATTTTAGTGGCGCTCTATGGGCTCTTCAGTTTAGAAATTTTGCTCACTCTCCATATAATGAAAATAAACCATATATTTTTATTTATTTTTAGTATCAAAATACTGCTGTTATATTACCTTTTCTACTTTTATACCAATGTTTTTATTGTTATAAATAGCATATTTCTTATTTACAGTTAGAATGTGATTGAGAAGGGAGTTGACTATGAGATGTGTGGTCTTAATTCTTCTGGTGGTGACATATGGCACTCAAGGGGAGACAGTGGAATCCAGCCCTTGCAAGTCATGGGAATTCCGTTGCTCAAACGATCACTGCATCAGCCACAATCGTTATTGCGATGGAACGGATGACTGTGGAGATTCTTCAGATGAGCCACCAGGTTGCACAAGTATGGGAATTTTGAAATAATTTATCCAATAAATCTAATCTAATGAGTGTAACTAATCACAAAAATAAAAATTAAATAGCCTTTAGTCAACTATAAAATTGCATCTTAAAATATTTTGCCGATAGATAGAAATTATGAAATATATAAATTTAATTTTCATAGCAAAAGTATTACTATGGGAACTTAATTAAATAAATAGGATAAGGTACGTTTATCTTATATTTTACTTTATAACCTGAGTATAAAAATCAATCATTGTTAAACTCTGGTTATAAAATAAGCTACTATAAAAATATCTACCCCTGTTGTATGAGCTCATCCTGATGCTCTGGAATCTTGTTTTATTCATTTGAATGGGGATTCCCTTGTTAACGACTTTAGTTTCCCCACTTCTCCATAACGCGTGGAAATGCATTGTATTGATTTGCCTCTCGGTCACAGTGAATTTTCTTGTTCTGTTTTTTACCGTTTTCTCTCTCGGCTTCTGTGGTTTTACTAATTTTCTCACTTTTTACACCTCTTCATGTTTTTTACCTTTATTTTTCCATTTTTCGTTGGCACCTTTACGTTTTTCATTTAAAATCATTTTTGTTTCTTAACATTCATGTCTGGCAATTAAGTCTTGAAAATTGGCGATAATTTTTGAAGCGCTTGTTATTTCATATTCATTTATTTCTGAACTGAAAAAAGTTTTCAAACAGCTAATATTGTGAGAAATGTCTTAAGAATTAAATCGCATGAAGTTAAAAGGCATTATTTTGAAAACTAAAAAATTTTGATGATGCAACTTGTTTTTATACTGGGCAAAGAAATTTAAAATATTTTGTCGAATACAAAAAAATAGACTCGAACACTAACATAAGACCTTAAGAAAGTTGACGAGTACTATCTAAGTCTTCTCAGATGCCTAACTGGGGAGAATTGTATAGAATTCTCCAATTATAAATTATTTTACAAAAGCTGTTCTCGTGTCAACTTGGCATCACTAATTCAATTATACATTACTATAGTGTGAGAAACCTTCACAACAATTTAATTTAGACTTTGCATTTATAGCATAAAATAGCATTATATTTTTCGTTATATAGTCTTAAACTCAAAGTATCAAACTTTTTCTTTCATTACAAAAATATGGAAAAAAATTATTATTTTAAAGTTTTTTTTCGTAAAAATAGATCTCGAATTAATGAGGTATGTAAGTGTTAGCAAAAATATTCCATTCTGTTAAAATAGTTGTCAGAGACACAACAAAAAAATAAATAAAATTAAGAGGGAAAAGTCTTCCATTAATATTTCTAACACCGATTACTTACAAAATTCAAAGATCACCTTGCATAAAACTCAACGTTAAAAAGTAAAACAACAAGCAAATGCAGAATCTATTGATACAAATAGCAGTGATTATACAATTTCATCAATCATCTCAATTAGTACGCATTAAATTAAAACAGTACTGTCATTTCCTTTTCTACATTGTTAAAAATCATGCAACTTTTTGAGAATCTTGAGAATCTCATAGAGAAGAAAATTGCAGAATTGAATCATATTAACTTGCTTCATAAGCTGGATTCTACGGTGCTATTGTTCAACTTGGACGGTAACATTGCTGAATTTAAAATCTTAATAAAGTTTCAACCCATTTCTACCGTTATATAGTTCTAATTACATTTTATTTTGGTTTCAATACTGAACAACCTTTAGCAAAAATGTATAAATTAATCAGTTCGATATTTGTATTGACTACATCATTTTAAAATTAAACTAGCTATATTTTTGCAAATATAATGCATTTTAAAAATACTAATGAGACTGAGCAATGATGATTTGATACACTTAGCACTGCATTCCACCTTTACTTAACTTTTTAAATTTTTTTCCCTCTCCTTTTATCCGCAGATTGTAACCAGACGTTGATGGGCGAAGTGGGAACGAAGTATCCGCTGAGAATTACTGAACCTTTTCATCGGAATTCTCCCTTTGTATGCAAACTCCATCTTGTGGCCGGTGGCGGAGATCTTCTGGGAGAAAGATTGGAAATAACATTCCTCTCATTTCAAATCGGATCTTTGACTCTTGATCGGTAAGTAGAATGACATTTGATTTTTAAAAAAGAAAATTGATTTGGCAAAGATAACTTTTTTTTCTTCAGAAATGATTGACTAAAACATATCGAGGAGCGAAAATAAATATAACTTTGGGAAAAAGGAAATATCTTTGTGCATGAGTGAGCATAGTTTGAAACTGAGAAAAAAAAAGGTTCTAATTTTTTTTATGACCGTCGTTGAACAGTCGACCCAAATTTATGGGTTTACGGCTACTAATGTTCAACTCCGTAGGCTTGTAATTTTGAACCCAACCCAGAAGACAAGGGCACTCCTGGATCGAGAATTGGGAGAAATTCGCCTTCGTAGAGGACTTTTTAATGGAGCTAACCCCCATTTGCGTTACATGGAGAGGAAGACCACGAGAACCTCCCACGGTTAGCCTGATATTAAGGGGACTCTAACCCATGATCCGTCAACCACTGAGGATATTTTACGTCAGCGCTGTGGTCGGTGCAAGCCGGATGCGGATTTCGTATCGACTGGGATTCGAACCCGGTTCGCCTCATTGGAAGGCAAGCGCTCTATCCCCTGAGCCATCGCAACTCAAGGCTCTAATTTGTAATGTGGTAAAAAAATTTAAAAACTTTATTTTTTCAAATAGCTACGGAATTTAAATATTTATTTTCTAAGACACTAAATTGAGCCAAATACGAGTGAAAAAATCAGTAACTTAATTTTGATTTAAAATTTCGATGTAAAAATAATTGGCTCAAAAATATATTTCTGCAAATAGTCCATTCTTTCAAGAATATTATCTATTAAATGTCTAAATGGAATCAGATATCATTTTCTTGTTAAAAATTTACTCACTCATTACCAAGTAAAATTAGCACAAATTTAATGACATTTGTGCTAATTTTACTTGATGATGAGTGAAGCTCGAATATTGATACCATTTGCATTTTTATATGTTTATCATGAAAAAAAAACATTAAATTAAAATAAAATTTCATTAAGAGCTGGACAGAAATATGGTACATTATATCTATCAAGAAACTCAGATATTAAAAGAGAAGGACATAACTTTAGCAACGAATATGTAGATCCCTTCAGAATATCTTAAATACGAATGGGTGCAAAATTTATTAGTGTTTAATGTCAATTTATCTCATGATACCATAGTAAATCATCATATTTTTATAGTAACTATTTGCGATAACAGAGAGTTGATTCTACTGAAATTAGAAACCTATTGCTGAATTCTACTTTTACAAGCATTAGTAATCATTCAATTTCCAAGTTTTCAACGTTGCTATACTTCCAAATTAAATAGAAATTTAAAAAAAAATAAAAGAAATTTCACATTACAATTGATTGTATAAAAAAAACTACTGTCATATTAAATTTCAAAGTTTTATGATGTACAAAAGATTTTAAAATTTTATTATTTAAATAAACTTCTGATTTTAAAAAAAATTAAAAGGTAATAGACTTGAGAAAAAGTTTTTCATAAAAGATAGAAAATTATTAATTGATTTTCTGTTAAATGGATATTAATTTAATCCAGATTTAAAACAATTGTATTATGATAAAATCCTTTTTTATAGAATCAATTATTTTATCCAACAACGGAGGGTATTTAATCAATTTTTATTTTTTATTTTGAGATCATTATTTGCATCAAAGAAATGAACAATCTAGATAAAGCGAATCAATAAATAAATTAAACTTCTAATGAATACTGAAACCGAATTGAGTTAGGAAGGCGTTGTATTGATACAGAACTGATACGCTTTTCGATCCAGAGAATCTGTTAGTTGGAATCGCTCAATTAAATGGATTTCTGCATTGTTGGGGATCCGGACAAGCTTGAAGATTAATTGAGGATTTCAAGAGATTGATTCACACCAAACAACATTTCAGGCTAATCACTCATGTCAAACAAGGGGGGTGTAATGCGGTAGGAGGAGACTTCCTGAAAGTTACTACTACTCCTACAAAAGGATACTTACTATTCAAGTGTAATGGAAAACCTCATAGAATTATTTCAGTTAATTCAGTATTTATAAAGAATGTTTCAGAAACATCATCTTCGCCATTGATTTTCTGATTCACTCTTAGAAAGTAACAAAAATAAGATCGATGATAAGATAAAATAAAATAAGTCAGAAATTGACATTTTCTTTTAAGTTAAGCAAAAAAAGAGAATAAAGAATTATTTTTTCTTAATTTTCAGTCGAATATTGATGGAGTGCTTATAAACCTAGTTTTTATAACAAACATTAATTTAAGATTCTAAATTAAATTACTTTTAACATTATATATATATATATATATCGCTCAATGAAGAAAAAAATGATAAAAAGTAAAAGAAAACGAATACAGTAATAAAATCTGTGTAAATCGAGCAAATCATGATTCTTTTTTAAATAATTGTTAATTTTCTAAAATCATTAAAATTGTATAACTTAATATCAACCATATTAATTATAAGCTTTATATTATCCGGTATATTATTATTACCTTGCGCACATCCATTTTCGGGCCAGTCCTAGGTATTTAACATATTAAACGCTCGTCAGTATTGCAGTAAGAACACGCCATAAGAGATCACTTTATTTAAGCTTTTGTTTTCATATTTTGTAATCCGGCAATCGCATTGCAAAATTATTTTGTGTCATTATTGAATGATTCCGGCACGCGTAAGTTCATTTGAATTCGCTCCTCGCTTTACGGATTTCCTTTCGTGTTTTGTTATATATTTCCTTTACCTATTATGTTCTGTTTTTTGTTTGATTTGTTTTATTTCATATATAGTTCTCAATTTTTGTATTCTATTTTCGCTTCATAAAGAAAAAATCTTTTTCTTTTTAGTGCTCCTCACACAATTGTATTGATATATTTTACTTTGGCTATATTAGAAAGCACTCTTTTTTGTGGATATAACCATGCGAGCTGATGAAGAGGTTATATCTTTTTTTCCTTAATTTGTTTTCTGGAATTTTAATGCTTTTTTATTTCGTTTTTTTAAGATGTACATAAAAAAAAATTTTTAAATATTTTTTAATAATAATTTTATTTTTAAAATTTTCCTTTATATATATATATAAATATAAATAATAAATGTATGTATATGTATATGTGTATATATATGTATGTATGTATATATATGTATGTATGTATGTATGTATGTATATATATAGGGAATTAAAAATATGTC